CAGAATCTAGAACAATGTCAACAATCTTAGGTGGAGAAGAATCTGAAATAAAATCAACAATCTCAAATGATAAAGAATCCACAACAATGCCATTATGATTCGGAATAGTAGACATAGAATAATTGACAACAGATTGTAAAATAGATAGCTCAATATGCTCAACATCTTGCATAGGAACTAATTGAATGGATTTTTCCTCAAGTTCAATGCTTAGTGAAGATTCAACTTTTGACACCGATGAGGTAGAAAATATGATAGGATCAAAAATAATCTCATCACTAGTATCAATGCTCAAACGATTGAAAGTATGTTTTGAAGGATGTAAAACATGAGGATCCAATGGAACAGAAATATGACTATCATTATGCAGGTGTCCGACATTAAGTGAAACTGGAGACTTGTCCTTATTTTCTTCTATTTGCTGACTTGCAAGAATTTTATTCAAGTGAAAAAGTTGACTTGTTAATTCAGATAATTGATTTTTCATCCCTCTACATTCTTCACGTAATTGGCCGAGTGAATGTTTAGTATTGACCACTTCAATTTCAAATATCTCAACCTTTTTTCCTAGGGCAGTTTGGGCTTTTGAATGGTCACTAATAACATTGAAGATTGATCTAAATTGACCTTGATGACGACTTTGGGAAGCATGACGTTGGTAACTGTTATGTGACCTAAGTGTCTCAGAGTAGTATTCTAGATAATCTTCATAATAAAACTCAAACTTATTATGGACTTAATGATGACTCTAAGAAGCTCTAGGAGTGGAATATGTATAGTGATGACGTTGTGGAGAACTATGAACTTGAGACATTCTTGATGTTGGATAAATATATGAATAGGCATCATAGTGATCATACAAACTCATAATTGACTTTGAAAGATGAGAATAACATAAGAATGAGTTCAAAGATGCAATTAATAATTATGAGAAGTGAGAAAACTTAAATAGAAGAAAATATATTTTAGATCCTTTGCAAATTCTTTAATTTTTTAATGAATAAAAATATTAGTCTCAAATTTTATGGGAGTGCATATCATAGTCAAGAAGAAATTCTAAAACTTTTGGGGATAATTCTGTAATTTTTGAAACTTCTGGGGGAAGATTCTGTAATTTTTGAAACTTCTGGTGGTAGTTCCTATAACTTTCTGAAGTGTTTCTGTAATTTCTGGAACAGCTAGGTTTTGCTGTAATTTTCTAAATCTGCCGGGACAATTTTTTTTTTTTTAAATGGACAGTGCCGATGAACAGTACCTCGGTGAACAATATCCNATTTCTGGTGGTAGTTCCTATAACTTTCTGAAGTGTTTCTGTAATTTCTGGAACAGCTAGGATTTTGCTGTAATTTTCTAAATCTGCCGGGACAATTTTTTTTTTTTTTTAAATGGACAGTGCCGATGAACAGTACCTCGGTGAACAATATCCAGATGAACAGTAATTTCAGGATAAACAGTGCACGCATGAACAGTGAACAGTAATTTTTTTTTTTTGAATACGAATCGAAATTGGGCTCTGATACCAAATTGATGTAGATCGTATTAGAAAATAATTAGAGATGAAAAGGAAAGAAAAAAGGGATGAGAAAAGAAGAAGAAGGGGATGAGAATAGAGAGAAAATTTTAGGAAGAAGATTCAATATCAATAATCAATAATCAAAGTCTCCCAAAATAATACCATATTCTCTATATATATATAGGGAGACCACAAATCCTAAAAGAACTCTAAAAAAAATAAATAGTCATAAAAACAACTAAACCCTTAAAAGTTAAAAGAAATTACTCAAACGATAAATATTAAAAGTATTTAAATAACTATCATAATTAATCTATAATATCTATCCAATTCCTACACGACCTCCATCACCCACCCACCATATATGCTTTAGGAAGAAAAACCCAAGTGTCAGACATGGAAATCAGGCAAGCTGAAGAATCATAATACATAGTTTATGAAATTGCCATTGTTGCACATCCCTTAGCATTTCTGCACTATTGTCTCCAGAGTGGCCCATCGACTAGGCCCACATGCACTGTCCAGCAATCTGTTCTGGTAACCATCGACCAAAGTGTCTCAAACACCTAAACCCCAAGACCAACTTACAACCAAGTCCTTTAGCAGTCATCGTGCATGTTAGGGTAACTTAATCAAGCACACCCCCAACTTAGCCTTGGCATGGGGCGCCATTGGGTAAGTCATCTGCATGCCATGGTCATGCCAATCATCAAGGGGCTAACAGTAGCCCTCTACTGTAGCAGCCATCTTCCACTTAAGCAAAATAAAAAGAAAAAGAATTTCACCCTAATTTGTTAAAAGGAGAAAAAAGCAGAACACATTTAATCATGTCTATGATATTCCTCAAAGAGATTGTGCATTTTCTATTAAATTGTTGAATAAAAATAGAGTACAAAATTTTATAGCTTCTGAAACTAAAAAACAAAAAACCATGCTTATGTATTAATTAATCTATATCTATCTATGCTACTAATAAAAGTAGCTTAACACGCAAAACTTTTGAATCTCTATTTTACCCTTATTAAAGAATTACAAAGACCACTCTATCATTTCCGAATTAAATATCTAAGTTATCAATATATTCTTATGCATTTAAATATCTAAATTATCTCTAATATCTCTTTTANTGATACCAAATTGATGTAGATCGTATTAGAAAATAATTAGAGATGAAAAGGAAAGAAAAAAGGGATGAGAAAAGAAGAAGAAGGGGATGAGAATAGAGAGAAAATTTTAGGAAGAAGATTCAATATCAATAATCAATAANTAATACCAAATTGATGTAGATCGTATTAAAAAATAATTAGAGATGAAAAGGAAAGAAAAAAGGGATGAGAATAGAGAGAAAATTTTAGGAAGAAGATTCAATATCAATAATCAATAATCAAAGTCTCCCAAAATAATACCATATTCTCTATATATATATAGGGAGACCACAAATCCTAAAAGAACTCTAAAAAAAATAAATAGTCATAAAGACAACTAAACCCTTAAAAGTTAAAAGAAATTACTCAAACGATAAATATTAAAAGTATTTAAATAACTATCATAATTAATCTATAATATCTATCCAATTCCTACACGACCTCCATCACCCACCCACCATATATGCTTTAGGAAGAAAAACCCAAGTGTCAGACATGGAAATCAGGCAAGCTGAAGAATCATAATACATAGTTTATGAAATTGCCATTGTTGCACATCCCTTAGCATTTCTGCACTATTGTCTCCAGAGTGGCCCATCGACTAGGCCCACATGCACTCTCCACCAATCTGTTCTGGTAACCATCGACCAAAGTGTCTCAAACACCTAAACCCCAAGACCAACTTACAACCAAGTCCTTTAGCAGTCATCGTGCATGTTAGGGTAACTTAATCAAGCACACCCCCAACTTAGCCTTGGCATGGGGCGCCATTGGGTAAGTCATCTGCATGCCATGGTCATGCCAATCATCAAGGGGCTAACAGTAGCCCTCTACTGTAGCAGCCATCTTCCACTTAAGCAAAATAAAAAGAAAAAGAATTTCACCCTAATTTGTTAAAAGGAGAAAAAAGCATAACACATTTAATCATGTCTATGATATTCCTCAAAGAGATTGTGCATTTTCTATTAAATTGTTGAATAAAAATAGAGTACAAAATTTTATAGCTTCTGAAACTAAAAAACAAAAAACCATGCTTATGTATTAATTAATCTATATCTATCTATGCTACTAATAAAAGTAGCTTAACACGCAAAACTTTTGAATCTCTATTTTACCCTTATTAAAGAATTACAAAGACCACTCTATCATTTCCGAATTAAATATCTAAGTTATCAATATATTCTTATGCATTTAAATATCTAAATTATCTCTAATATCTCTTTTAATTATCTATTATCTATATATATATATATTAATTTCTATAAAACTTTTTGATCGACTATATTACCCTTAAAAAATATGCATCATTATATATTTAATAAAGTGTTCAAAAAACCTTAAAAAATTTTATTAATTTAATATTACTCATCTTATATGCAAAGATAACATTATACCTACATATGTGTATTTTCTTTTTCATCGAAAAATTTAACCCTTTCATTTCTAAGATAAAAAAATAATCATATATATAATTTTTTAAAATCAATTTGTGTTACATTAGTATAATTATTCAATAATAATAAACTTTCTAAGTTGTATTAATATTTTATGTAAACATAGATATAGTAGTGCATTTTTAAGTAAAACTTGAAATTTTTAAATTTTTTTTAGTAATATATTAAATCTTATACAATTTCACATAACCAATTCCTAATTACAGTAAAGTTCTATTATGATTAGTATATTGACAATTACTTTTATTTTATTCAATGAATTATAAATGCAATCCTAATAAAATAAATTTCAAAATATTTAATTTTTCAAATATCACTAAAAAATCAATCTTAATCACAAAATTCTAAGAAAAAAATAAAATTTTAACTATTTTTTTAATCTTTTTTCTTATAATTAGAACAAAAAATTTTGGGAACATATAAAGTTTTTAAAACCCTATAATAGAATATGAACAATGAACTATTCACGTGCAACACACATAATGCATTCCTAGTAATTTAAAAAATCAAATTGCATAGTGAATAGCTTTAGGCAAAGCATTTTTAATACAAGTAATAAATAACTATAACTACAACTAAACTTGTGGTTTCCATGGCAGTTATGATATTCCCTGCTTACAATCTTAACCAGTGAAGAATTAGTTATGCAACTCAGATCTTTGTTCACTAAATAAGGGCAGGGGCAGAACTTGTTTAACTCAATCGAGATCTACATAGATGCAGAAGTCAAAACTAATTTTAAGTGTTTCCATAACTTGACTAGCAGATCAGGAAACTTTAGTATGAATGCATGGAGGTCAGATACGGTCCGTAGCCAAACAGATTATGCACCACAAAATTGTAGCAGGACAAAGTGTTATGCAAGATGAAGCCATAAATAAATCTTACTTGTCCCTTGAGGATGGAGGCCAGCTTCAACTTTTGCCTCAGCAAGTGCAACCTGTGTCTTTTCTTGGTGACAGTGTCACGTAGATCTGAAATTGTGATCCATGTATTCCACAGTTTTTTCTGGTACAAAGGACAGTGATTTAGCTCATAAATCATTAATTATAAATAATTCTTTATTCTGACCAGTCTAATGCTACAAGAATCCTGCATTTGTTCTCTAGAATTTCTCCAAAACTTTAACGCGTCCACATCCAATGGCCACAAGAAGCTCAACTAAAATTAGCTTACAACATAAAAAGTGCTTAGGGGCAGTGCCACAATGCATACCACCAATAATATAGATAATGAAAAAAAAAAGGTAAAATGTTACCCACGGGAGAAAAAGCTAAAGATTGATTCCCTTCATCACATTCATTAACTATTTCCTAAATATCATGCATCACTGTCAGTTAAAATCTAGGCTAAACCGACCAAAACTGGGGATTCAACTCAAGCTTTTGGCTTACCTTCCTACTTTCTCAACAACTACACGTTCATACATCAATCTCCCAAAATATAGATTTTTCCTTTTCTAATCTGACTAAAGAATTCTCAGGAGCTCTCATTTACTGTTTTACTTTTACTCCTACCTTTGAATTCTGGATATCATGAAGTATCAATTTGATTCATGTCAACTCTGGTAATTACTTCACCCATGTAGCAGCATGTTAATCTTCACAGACTTGATATGAGTTGTCTCAATCATTTATGTTGAATATGTTCAATATGCTTGTTTGTTTAGATGTGTAGGTCTCGATGTAATTGTCCAAGAGGCTGTCTTCTCATGCTTCCTGTTTATAACATAACTTGCCAAGGATATTGGGTGCTTGTAAGCTTCTATAATAGGGTATCTTCCCCGTGTAAGACACTCAAAGGATATTTGCAAAAGTGAATGTAATGTATGTGCAGAAAGAATAAGGGATGATAAGTTTTAGTAAACATTCTAATCTAGGTATTCTCACAGTTCCACCATGATCATTAGTATTTTAATGGCATAACTTAGATGTGACATTCAATATTGCGATGAATCTTTCTTGTGCAATCAACTAAAAGTCCAAAAATAAAAACAAATCCAAAGCACCATAAATTAATCGAGAATGAGAAACTGAAAACAAGCGAAAATCAATTCGAATCATCTTACTTCTGCACCGCGTTTCTGCACCAACAAGGCTGCTGCTGTCCTAGCATTAACAAAGCGCCATTGCAACTGTCGATTATACTGAAGCCTCAACAGANACAATCAATTCGAATTGTCTTACTTCTGCACCGCGTTTCTGCACCAACAAGGCTGCTGCTGTCCTAGCATTAACAAAGCGCNAAAATCAATTCGAATCATCTTACTTCTGCACCGCGTTTCTGCACCAACAAGGCTGCTGCTGTCCTAGCATTAACAAAGCGCCATTGCAACTGTCGATTATACTGAAGCCTCAACAGATGTGCATCAAAAACACAGTTCTCTCCTGTGTTCCTCCTTCGAACATCAACAGCAAAACTAAGAACTGAAGGTGTCTCACTTAAGTTACTACTAATGGTACTAGCAACGGCATTTCTGACCCGAGATGGACTAGGCATTCTCCTCAATGGAAATGATGGCACAACCTTACTTGGCGATGCAGGCCTAACACTTGCCTGAATAGGCGATGACATTGTTCGTGGCAATGGTAATAGACTATCACTTGGAAACTTTGTTAGCTTTGGAGGAACTACCCTTTTGGGCCCAGGACTCATGGATAAAGGCGAACCCGGATCCTGCAACCTCCTTAACCGACTGTTAGTTTCATGCCAAAACCTAGCCGAACCACCAATTCCATGTGGCCCACTTCGCCCACGGGCAACTGCACCACATTCTTGTATTCCTGAAGTACTACCAGAAGAAACACTATCTGTATCGGATGCAGTGAGATCAGACGGCACTGACGACTCATTAACTGAATTCCCATCTGGATCTTGTGAAATTGTCTTCAACAACTCAGGATTGCCCAAATCAAGACTTAATCTACCATCAAAGGATGCCCTCCTAGTCTCATCAATCATAGATTGTTGCAATGCCCTGATGACATTCCCAGATCCAATAAACTTACTCTTCTGACTAGCACATTCTAAACTTCTCGATAATGGATTTGCTTGCCGGGTCCTACCAGCCCAAAGATGCTGATCAATTGGTTTAGAATTCTCCACCTGATGTCCTTCTCTCTCAACCTTCACTCTCACTGGAGTACTACTCCTCCTCTCTGATGTACACTTCCTCACACTACTCAAATTTGGTGTAGGTGGTGCCACCTTAGTCTTACTAATAGGAAGAGAAAACGTTTCCCCTTGAAACGAAACCGACAAACTCCTAGTAGAAGTGATCAGAAGCTTTGTTGCAGCTGACATTTCACGAGCATTGCCAGGTTTCGGAGCAAGGTCTGGTGTGAGGGGTCTAGAGGCCACAGGACGCCTCCGGTCGACAGACACAGACCGTTTCGGTCCCAAAGCTGGTGTATTAGACGCCGGTGTCGAATTTCTTGAAACAATAGGAGATGGGAATCTTCTGGAAGTGGTAGATGAAGAAGAGACTGAGGAATTTGAAGTGGAAGGAGAAGGGGACATGTATCTTGAAGGGACTTGTTTTTTTTTGGGTCTTTTGGGGTTAATTCCAATTCCATTGTTGTCTTTCTCAGATGGTAACAATGGGGGTCTTCTTGGGTTGATTTGGGACCCATCTTGTGAACAAGCTTTGGGGTTTCGCGGGTTTTGTGGTGGGTGTGTCGTTGAAGGTGCTTCAGAAACAGCAACCACCATCATGGAAAACACAAACGCACACACATAAACACGCAAAAGATAGGGGGCTCTCTCACCTCTTACATTGTGTATCACAAGAAAATGGACTTACCCAGATAACCCATTAGGTTGTTCATTGCACATAACCTGCAAAAAGATCAAGAAATCCCAGTATAACTCAAAAACTCATAATGGGTAAGTGGATTATCCCACATTTTCATGAAAATTAAGTCTACAGATACTGCGAGTTAGAGAGAGAGAGCTACAAAGAAGTGATAATTTTCCGGCGAGGATGGAATGGCCTGAATGGGAGAGAGAGGGTTGGTAGAGAATGAGATTTGGGAGGAATAGCACATAAATAGTTCGCACATCTTGTAGTGGGATTTGGGTGGATTTTGGGCTTTGTGAATCTTTGGAGAGACGTTACGCTAGCCAAATCCTCTAGTTTTTAGTTTTGATCTCTCTTTTTTTGTAAGTAGTTTTAATCTCCCTTTAATATCATAAAATTGTTGGGCGTCGGGTATTTTTTATTTTTTGATTATTAAGTATTATCTTAATCACATAATTCGAGTAAACAANTGGGTAAGTAGTTTTAATCTCTCTTTAATATCATAAAATTGTTGGGCGTTGGGCGTTGGGCATTTTTTATTTTTTGATTATTAAGTATTATCTTAATCACATAATTCGAGTAAACAACCAACATTCTATTAGTCCATGAGCGAATTCACATTTTGGGAGCAAATTCGAATTCGCGCTCACATTTTAAAATTCATAGATTTAATTTTTTAATCCATAAATTAAAACTAATTCAGGCTCATGCCAAAAAATATATATATAATTAAAAATATGATATATATATATATATATATANTTTTGGGAGCAAATTCGAATTCGCGCTCACTTTTTAAAATTCATAGATTTAATTTTTTAATCCATAAATTAAAACTAATTCAGGCTCATTATTATGTAATTTTTTATTCGAAAAGTGCCGATTCATGCCAAAAAATATATATATAATTAAAAATATGATATATATATATATATATATAAACTATAATTATCATTTTAGAATCTTATAATTAAGGTATATTTAAAAATTAAATAGTTTATCAAATAATTATACATGAAATTTAATTTTTTATTAACTTTCATGGATAAATGTGTGTCTATATATATATATGACATAGACACTCTCAAGACAATGGTTATCAGATCTGGACTAATTGATTAAAAAATATTGTCATAAATGCTAACACTAGAAAAGTTTTGCCAAATTTNTATATATATATGACATAGACACTCTCAAGACAATGGTTATCAGATCTGGACCAATTGATTAAAAAATATTGTCATAAATGCTAACACTAGAAAAGTTTTGCCAAATTTTGTGATATTAAGGGTTATTTGTAGGTGGTTAAAAGTTAAAACTGAAAATGTTGAATCCTTGAAGATTCTTTCGTTGCTAAGCTAATTAGGAGAACGGCAAGGCAAGAATCTAGCTTCAAACTTTATTTATTAGATTCTAAGACACCCATGTTCAATAAATGCAAAATGTTGACAAATTGAAAAAAGTAAGAAAGCAAGTTTGCTTTATTTATGTGCACACACATAATTCAAGCTTTAGGTAATGGGATAGATCTTTTGGACAAGTTTTTAGAGAGATTTTAAAATAGAAAATAATTTAAGAGCCACCTGTATAGGTCTTATTTACAAAAATCCAATTAGAATCGGTCAAAGTCATCAACCAATAAGAAAAACACGGGGGAGNATGTGCACACACATAATTCAAGCTTTAGGTAATGGGATAGATCTTTTGGACAAGTTTTTAGAGAGATTTGAAAATAGAAAATAATTTAAGAGCCACCTGTATAGGTCTTATTTACAAAAATCCAATTAGAATCGGTCAAAGTCATCAACCAAATAAGAAAAACACGGGGGAGAGAGAGAATCGGTGAAGGTGGTGGTTTGAGGTTGACAAAGGCAGTGGCTAGAGAGTTGTGGGCATAAAGAGGGAGGAGGATTTTGGCAGTAGACAGAGGGTTTGACATGGTTGTAGAAAGGAGGCTGTCGAGGAAGGGAGGAGAGAAGTCATTACCGACGGCAGGTGGAGGGTAAAGGTTGCCAACAAAGAGTTGGCAGAGGAGAGTGCGATGAATTTTAGGTACCCGTTTATTGCAAGGCAATTTTTATGATTGAGTTCTACGCAGAAGTCTATATCACCGATCCATATTTCACATTAGAAACAAAAAATATATGAATGAGTCAAAATTTCTCAGATTTTGATCAATTTTTCTAAGTCAGAGTCTTAAGTTTATTGATATTAATTAACAGTNCCGCAGGTGGAGGGTAAAGGTTGCCGACAAAGAGGTGGCAGAGGAGAGTGCGATGAGTTTTAGGTACCCATTTATTGCAAGGCAATTTTTATGATTTAGTTCTACGCAGAAGTCTATATCACCGATCCATATTTCACATTAGAAACAAAAAATATATGAATGAGTCAAAATTTCTCAGATTTTGATCAATTTTTCTAAGTCAGAGTCTTAAGTTTATTGATATTAATTAACAGTGACCTTCCTTGAAGAGGGGAAACAAATAAAAAAAAAAAAGAAGTGAAGCTGATCATAGCCGGTTTAGATATCAAAATAAAAAGCAATGCGATACTTACCAATTTTTTATACCATCAAAAGCTTCCCAGATTATCTGAATAAGTGAACTAGCCACAGCCTCTTAATCAGATAATAGATCATAAGAAAATATGAACACACAACAATTGAACACACTGACTTTTGGAGATATGGTGTTGATTAGGAGAAGCGACCATACCATTCAGGAAAGCAATAGACAGACTTTCCAAAAGAAGATATAACAACAATATCTGGTCCAAAATTCAAATCATGTTTACTGATAAAATAGAATANCATTCAAAAAGAAGTTATAACAACAATATCTGGTCCAAAATTCAAATCATGTTTACTGATAAAATAGAATAAGTAATATCATCCAAACTCATCGTCTCCAGCAACACAACATGGAAATAACAACGCTAATTCGATTATAAAAAGCCACTACCAGCATTACACTTCGACAAAATTCTTTTGCCTGATGAAAAAACTGGCATGCATCCTTCAACGATACTGCAAGGACAAACAATTGGACACAATGAACATCCATATCAACAAGAAAACAGAGACCAGCGAAAATGAATGAAAAATTAAAGTATAAATAAGACATGACCACATCCAAAATATTGAACTGGATAGGCAAACTGTTGGCCACAATGAAACTATCAGGCAATACTAAAGTGATACAGATGGGTAAACCAGCTATANGCAAACAATTGGACGCAATGAACATCCTTATCAACAAGAAAACAGAGACCAGCGAAAATGAATGAAAAATTAAAGTATAAATAANGACAAACAATTGGACACAATGAACATCCATATCAACAAGAAAACAGAGACCAGCGAAAATGAATGAAAAATTAAAGTATAAATAAGACATGACCACATCCAAAATATTGAACTGGATAGGCAAACTGTTGGCCACAATGAAACTATCAGGCAATACTAAAGTGATACAGATGGGTAAACCAGCTATAACTTGAAATGGTAAATATTCACTTGCATACCTTAATAAAGCCAATTTCTTTTGCATTGCTGCGGAAACATTGTCTGCAACACATAAGACCATACTTCCGAATAATCCCATGGGGGTTCCCACAAACACGACTGCCAAAAGAACAAATACATTTGGTCAATATAAGTCATTATTGATATGTAAACCAGTGGATAAAAGCACTGCTGTAACATGATATAAAATATGTTTCCCAACTTTTTGCATTTAATGAAATTAATAAAAGTCAGCTAAAACTGTCCCTCAAGAAAAATAAGGTAACACCCAAGCGGTAAATATCATCAGAACCAATATTGCAATTAATTCGGGCTTCATGNAGCACTGCTGTAACATGATATAAAATATGTTTCCCAACTTTTTGGGTTTAATGAAATTAATGAAAGTCAGCTAAAACTGTCCCTCAAGAAAAATAAGGTAACACCCAAGCGGTAAATNAACAAATACATTTGGTCAATATAAGTCATTATTGATATGTAAACCAGTGGATAAAATCACTGCTGTAACATGATATAAAATATGTTTCCCAACTTTTTGCATTTAATGAAATTAATAAAAGTCAGCTAAAACTGTCCCTCAAGAAAAATAAGGTAACACCCAAGCGGTAAATATCATCAGAACCAATATTGCAATTAATTCGGGCTTCATGAAGGAAGCAAGGCACTGTATTTTGATAGGTTTTACTAAAACGGGCATAAAAAAAACTGCAGTAAAATGAAAATGTAATCATTTATCAGACTTTGATTAAAACTCAACATATTATTAATCCCCTTACAAACAAAACCTTGTCTTGCTACGCATCAGATCATGCCAAATGAATCAGGGTAACAACTTTTCCCCTAAAAAACCCACAATCTTTTACCAACTTCAACTCTCTTTATGCTAAAATTAATTCCCAAATCATGCATTTGGCAGCTAGAAGAAAAGGTACAAAAAAAAAAAATCGTACTTAAAAAAACAGAGTTCCATATGTTCAAGATCTAAGAGTATGAAAAATCATCCAAGTAAAGTTGAATCAATCAGTGACTCTAAAAATTCATTTCCCCTTAGTTTTTTGACGATTATCTAAGCACCCAAACTAGCATAATTTTTAAATTCACAAGACCTGAGGAGAAAGTAGGTAGTCAACAATATTTGAAAAGATTTTTCAGTTCATCCGAAATTTTAAACCAGTATGATATATAATCAAACATACGTATACCAAATTACAATCACATAGTTCAAGAACTACACAAATAAGAAGCCCGAAATCCAGAGCACTCACGTCATGAACCAGGCTCATTCTATGTTCGACTCAACCACTCGATTCAACCACATAATTCACAAGCATAACAAGTAAAGAACACTCATTCATAAATGACCAACAAAAAAGTTCATTTTATCGTTATCATTTTCCAAGTAATTGTTGCGAACAAAATTAGAAATCAACGGT